TCTGTCTGAGCATCTACTCCCAGATAAATGCAACAGTATTTTCTATATCACTATGAACAGTCATAAGAATTAACAGTATTTTTAAAGAAACACAGATAACAGGCCACAGCCCCTGAGGTCAACACCATCATCATTTCCATTTCAACCTCAGAGACCTGAAGTCCAGGAAGCTCTATGAGCTCACCCCAAGTTCACCTGCAGGGGCAGAATCTGGACGCAGGTTCCTCTAGTCTACAGTCTAATTATGCAACCATCACACTCTTCTGTTTGTAGTTAATCCTCAGTTGATAAAGATATAGAGAACTCCAGATAAATTTTTACTGTTACTCTCATCTCAGGCACTTCTGAAAATAGTTCCACAGACATGGGTGGGCAGAGGAGTGCAGAAGAGAAATCACCATCACCCACCTCAAAGATGAATCATCTGAGTTTGTGGCCCTTGCCTGGGAAGTAGCAGGGCCTAAACAAGTTCCCTTGGCTTTCTTTGTTCCTCCTGGGCTTCAAAGATGCCCAGGGAGAATGGATAATGAGTCATTGCTTCTTTTTCCTACCTGAATTTTGCCAGCACTCATTGTTGAGGCCAGGACACTTCAGGAACGGGGTACAATGGTCAAAGAGGACACAGCAGGTGGTGGTTGAGAACATGGGCCCTTGACTGGACATGTTTTTTTCTGGATATGCAGGATGGAAGAGCCATCAAAAAGTCTCACCATCTCTCCTAGGATGTGTCATCAGTTGGGGGCAAGGAACCACACAGGTCCTCTGAGGAGTCCTTTTAACCAATACAGCTTTCTTGTGTCCACACACAGTTCCACCTGCCTGAAATGCCACCTCACCACGTGCCCAATGTTACATTTGGGAAGAAAGCATGCTCCCCTGGCAAAGTTTATTTTAGGTGTCTACCCCAGCCTCCCTGTCCCTCTGGGTAGAGAACACAGGCACTGTTAATAGCTATTAGTTTACAATATATAAAAACTTATCATTCTCTGGGGCAGGTAACTCATCCTCTGTAAACCTCAAGTTCCTCTTATGTAAAACAGTAATGATGAAAGATCCTAACTTTAAGATGATGGCAATTAAATGAAGTTATACCTAATTCCTATCAGTGCACAGCAAAGAATCGATTCAGGACTGATATTACGGCTCTTCTGCAATTACTTCTTTCCTCTTTGCTCCCACAACATTCTGGACAAACTAACCCAGCAAGCGCCTTTAATTTTACCAAAATCCCTGCACAAAAATTCCAGACACCGAGTAGACACGGAAGGGCCACTTTAGCCTGAACTGCTAGGAAAAGGCCTCTCCCAACAAGGTAAGCCTGAGCAGAAACCAGAGAACATGAGAAGCCCTGCAAAGACGTAGAGGCAGTGTCCCAGGCAAAACAAAGGCAAGGGCAAGGGCGACGAGGCGGAAGGGAACTCAGCACCGTCTGTCAGGTTTGTGAGTCAAGAGTACCGGCTGGAGACCTCAGGAGGAAGCCTCATTCACCCTTTAAGCACCGTCAGAGGCCCGCGGGGCCGGAGGGCCGGAGGAACCACTAGCAGAGGAGCGGCAAGGCCGAACCCTGGCCGCTCACCTTCGCGGGGTCCAGCAGCGCCGCCGCCATGTCTCCCGGCTCCCAGCGGGCGGGCGGCCCTGGACACCCGGCGGGGTGCAGGATGCCGGACCCAAAAACGGCCGAGCCGAAACACTGCACCCGGGCTGCAGTCCCGGCGCCGGGCCCGGGCTGCCGGGCGCCGGGAGGTGACGTAGCGCCGCCGCCGGAAGCGGCCTGCCGCGGGCCCTCATGGGCCAGAGCGCGCCGCAGTGCTTCCTGGGTAGCGCGGCCTGGCCTCAAGGCTGCCCCCCGAGTGCGAATCCGCCTCAGGCGCTGTTCTTTTTTGTGGTGGGGGTGGTTTTTCTTTTATTTTTTTTTAACCGGGGGCCCAGACCGTCGGTTATCCGCCCAGCCAGGCCGAGTCTCGGGAAGGTGGACAGATGAGGGGTGGGCGGCGTCCTGACGACGTCCGAGGCCGAAGTCGGAGCAGGAGAGTGAAGGCAAAGCAGGTGATCGCTGCCTGGGTCGTCGCGGGGACCGACCGACCGGCCGGAGACGGGCGAGTGATTGTGCGGGGGAAACGGCTGGGCCTCCTGTGGACGGCGAGACCACCTGGAGGGGAGCGTTGGGCAGGCCCGGGACGGCGCCCTCGTAAAGGCCGGAAGTGCGTCCGGAGGACGTCTGTGTAGGAGACCCCGGAGGAGTTGGTCGACCCTTTCCCGCAGTGTCGAAGTGACGGGCCACCGGGAGGCTCCCTTTCTGAAAGCCCACTTAGAACCTCGGGTGTCTGGTCACTACTTGAACAGTTCCCCTCGGCACTGACCCTCTTCCGTCCATAGTTCTTAATCTTGTCTTGTTTGATCCCCAACACCCTGTTGGAAATCCCGCCGAAAAAGCTCGTTTGCTTCACTAAACTTAAACTTACCAACTCATTAATGACTTGGTGGGTTATTTCTAAATGCCAATTTTACTACCCAGGGGTGGTGAGCCAAATGACCTTGGTACAATTGCCAAGACATGTCTTGGTTCTTTGTTAAGGTCCCCAAGAGGAACGTCACACACCATAACGAGGGGCCAGGTGGAAAAGCACAGAGTTGGTCACCAAGTGAGGGGAAAGCAGGGTCAAGAGCCTTTATTGTGCTTCTTCAGCACAGAGTAGGCAAGGCAAGTAAGCCAAGTAAGGTTTAGGATTGGCTAATTAGTCAGTAGAGACCATCCTATTTCCTTGACATCTAGCCCTGGGGTAGTAATGGCAGGGAGTTGGTGGCTTCGTTTAACAGACCCTGATAAACAGGCAGAAGAGATAAAAATTTTCTTAAAGGTCTTCAGTAGGTAAGAACAAGGACAGAAAGCATAGTCTGACTGCCAGGTCAATGCCCTTGATGCTGCTCCGAAGGAAGCAAAATAAAGTGGACATCTAATAACATAACTAAGACCATTTTGTTGTGAAATGCATAACATAAACACATTATTGCTTATGACTAAAATTTAAAAATTGTAAGCAAATATTGTCTTTAATCCTAAAACTGAAGCACATCATTAAACGCTATGGAGACAAGTACAGAAAGGAAAAGCCAGGTGTGGGCCAGTGTGAAAAGTAAGCTGCACACACAGTAAGAGACTGGATTCCTCTAGGTCTCCTGCCTGTCTCTGTAGAGGGCCCTCTTAGGTGGAGCTTACTGTGCTCACTCCCTCCAAAAGAGACTCACAGACCTGTAAGTGACTAAGTCTGCAACAAGATGTTCTTTAATCTCAAATTAATGATGCATGAAGTCTTCATGAACCCCATATTCTTTAATCTTTGCTATACCCAGAGGATATAACATTCAATAGCAGGAACAAAGATGAGAAATTACTGACGTGATATAGAAATACACAGCATTTATCTGGGTATTACATCTTTACAGAAAGGAAGGCTAACAGGGAATATTTACAAGTCAGACCACTTGCCAATGTATCATTGTGTACATATTAGAGAAAAAGGGTTTTTCTCACCAGACTACCTCTTTTTTTGTTGTTTTTTGGTTTTTTTTTTGCATCAGGCATTGATGCTTAACCACTGTGTCACATCACCGGCACTTTTATTTTTTATTTTAAAATAAGGCCTCGCTAAGTTGCTGAAGCTGGCTTTGAACATGCAATCCTCCTGCTTCAGCCTCCCAAGTTGCCGGATTATAGGCATGCACCATGGTACCCAGCTGTACCTTGTGTTTACTAAATTAAATACTAGTTTAAGAATTGCCACTTATTAAATTAATGGTTTATATGTGTAAGGCTTCATCTGAAAGCTATAACTGATATATGTTGTAGAAAATTATATTTGCTTAATGATAAAGAATTTTGAATTTAGTAGCTGAGTGCCTTTTAAGTGACTGAAGATACAACATAGTAAGCTTGAGACTGATCATCCTTTGCGCTTCCAAGTTTCACACCTGGCTGGAGTTTGGGACATTATTTTTCAGATTGCACATTATTCCCAGAAATGAAGAGTGGGCAGGTCCATGTGCCTTAATTGTTTGTGTCAACAATATGGCTTATGAGGAACACCTGCTATCTTTTTGGAGGTCTGGAATTGTATGTTCTGGAAAACATGTCCAGTGCAAATTCTCTGCAGTGAGCATCAAAAGATTCCCTAATAGAATCTCATATGTGATTGTTAAGTTCCAGATAAAGCTTAAATTAAGCACATCTAATATGACTTCACTGAGACAGGCTCAAGAAAGTAGTGCCTGGTTTTCTCAGCCAATGAGTCTCCTCCCTTTAGTAAGTGCTTTACATCCTTTGGCTATAATAAATTATAACCACTGACCATGATATGATGAGTTCTCTGAATTTTCCTAGTAAATCAAACTTGGAGGACTCCAACAGTCATTCATTATGACTTCTGAAATTTTGCACATCTGTCCATAAAAGTCTATGCATATCTTCTTTAAGGTCATCATGTCATAGATGGTGCCCATTTTTTAGGGTGAACACTGTGAAGGACTCAAAAATCATTACAAAAACACCCTGCTATATGTGGGTATTCACCTAACAAATAGTTAAGTGTCTACTAAAAAAACAAAAGATAGAATGCACAGAATGGAGCAGAGGCTCACTATGGGGACAATAAAAGGAAGAGGAGAGAGGGCTACAGTGATCTGGTTTAGGCAGTAAAGCAAAAGTTAGGCAGATTCACAGAGTCGTCTTTCAGGCACCTCAAAAAACATCTAAAGACAAATGCAAGCCTTGGCCCTTTTCTGCTCCTCCTTACTTCCCGTCTCCCCTATTTCTCAAACCCAGGCATTATCTAGATTTTCCACAGTTACAACAGACTACACCCCTTTTAAGAGTATGGTTCATCTCACTTGCTTGAAGAGATGGCCAAGATGTATTCTTAAATGTTTTAAAATAGAAGGTTTCAGATAAATAAGCCTGTTTCATCCATTCTAGTAAAAATGAATAATGACCAGGAGAACGAAGATCCACCCCATAATAGGCAATAAGTTTTTTATTCTGGAGTCAACCAACATTGCCTCCAGTCCCTAAGCTCAAGTTTCACAAATGGGTAACCTTTGGCATATTCCCTCATCTTTCTATAAAATGGGAAAATAACTAATACATAAAGATGTTATAAAGGAGCTGGGTACAGTGGTACAGACCTGTAATCCCAGCAGCTCAAGAGGCTGAGGCAGGAGGATTGTGAGTTCAAAACCAGCCTCAGCAAAAGCAAGGTACTAATCAACTCAGTGAGACCCTATCTCTTAAAAAAAAAAAAATAGGGGTGGAGATGTGGCTCAGTGGTTGAGCGTCCCTGTAATTACTGTACTAAGTTCAATCCCCAGTAACACCCCCCCAAAAAAAGGATGTTATAAAGGTTAGAACTGTTGAGGGCCACAGCTGAGTCTGGATGGCGCCAGAAGGAGTGGTTAAGAGCGAGCCATTAAGTTGATGATAATTATAATTGCTGTGACTGGATGATGCTGGATTGAAACAGACTGTGTATTGAGTTGTATATGGACCCTGCAGTCCGAAAATAGGGCGGGTCCTGCTGCCTCGGGTGCCCGCTACTTTGGAGTTCCCATGGAGTTCTAGCGGGTTCCGAGAGTTCGCCTGGAGCCTGGTGGAGGGTGAGAGAGTTCCCGGGAGTGTGTGTGGAGTGTGCTGGTGGAGTTCGGGAATAAAGAGTTGCTGTTTGAACCTACAAGTGCTTCGTGGCGGCTCGGTTATTTTGTGCCCAGCCAGACTGCGGCAAAAACAGTTGGTACATGTAAAACTTCCCAATCTCTAACACATAGTAATACCATGTTTGCTTGATCTTATATGATTGCTCACCTATAGCCACATGGTGGATACATACATACTGGGATCAGTGTGTATGAATACAGTAAGATGCAGGATGATCAGTGGGTAAAGGACATGAGAAATGTTCAACCGGGAAACATGATTTTGGGAAGCTCTATAGACCACTGACAGTAAAATGCCTTGAGGAGAATTCATTCATTTGTGGGAAACAAGAAAAATTATAAAAACAATGGCCATGATGACCCTGAGAAGTAAAATTGCTTATTGGATAGAATACATACAACACTACAGATACATCCATGGAATTCTAAAATAAGGTGAATTAACCAAAGGGAAGAAAACAACAAACACAAGAGAGGAACAGTTAGCAGGGAAAATAAATTCAAATCATAAAATGGAGCTGTGAATGCTAGCAAATCGATAATTACTTTAAATGGCCTCAATATACCAATTAAAAGACAAATATATAAAAAGGATGTAAAAGCAGAATCAGTGTGTATGCTATTCATGAGAAACTTGTTTCAAATATGTAAAGAGTCTGAAATAAAATAATGAAAAAATATAAAGGATATGAGGATTAGCCAAAAAAAAAAAAAAATGTAAGAGTGAATATACAAATATCAGATAAAGTATACTTCAGAGCTAAAAGTACTTACAGGGGCAAAACCAGGATGTTAAAAAATGATAAAAGCCAGGCGCAGTAATCCCAGTGGCTTGGGAATCTGAAGCAGGAGGATGGCAAAGCCAGCCTCAGCAATGGTGAGACACTAAGCAACTCAGTGAGACCCTGTCTCTATATAAAATACAAAAAAGAGCTGGAGATGTGGCTCAGTGGTTGAGTGGCCCTGAGTTCAATCCCCAGTACCCCACCTCCACCAGAAAAAGTTATAAAAAGGCCAATACACAAAGAAGTCTTAGTAAACTTACATGTATATACGTACCAAACACAGAGCTGTGAGTATATGAAAGAAAAATTGATAGAACTTACAAGGAGGAACAGATACTTCCATTCATATAGTTCAGGAGTTTAACACCATTCTCTTGGTAATCTGAATAACATTACCAACAAACAGGATCATCTGGATCTCTACAGAAATTCCACCCAATTACAGCAGAACATGCATTTTTTTTTTTTGCAAGAAGCCATACAAAACAGGTCATGAAAGACTTTAACAAATATAAACAGGGCAAATGTGAAACAAGTTAGAAATCAACAATAAATAGATAAAAGGAAATATTCAAAACACTAAGAAATTAAACAACTTCGAAATAATTCATTCATTAAAAATGAAATCTCACCAAGAATTTCAAAATTGGAGAAATATAATTAAAACTAATTAAGATGAAGCTAACAGTACTGTGATTCAAATTCAAAGAATTTCATGCTTACATTAGAAAAGAAAAAGGCTTCAAATCAAGAAGCACCCACTTTGAGAAATTAATTAGAGCCAAATATAAATAAATTAGGTGGAAGAAAGGATATAACACAGATCCAAGAAATGGGTTGAATTAAGAACACATAGTAGAGAAAAAAAATCGATACAATTTTAAATAACTGAGAAAATTGAAAAAATCTAAAAAGATTACAAAGACAAAAAGAGAATGGCTATAATGGATACACTCCCAGCTACTGAAGAGGCTGAGGCAGGAAGTTCATAAGTTCAAGACCAGCCAGGGCAACTTAGGGAAGACCCTGTCTCAAAACAAAAAGGGCTGGGGATGGAGCTCAGCATTAGAGCACCCTGGGGTTCCATCCAGAGTACTGTGAAACAAAGAAGAGAGAGAGAAAATGGATATATTTCCAATATCAGAAGTAAAACAGGGCATATAAGAACATATCCTGCTGCAATCAAAGGATAATAGAAAATAGTTCAAACAAATTAAATAATTTGCATGAAATAAAACAATTCCTTGAAAAGAACCATGATAATTTATCCAATATGAAATACTCTTATAAGTTCTATACATATAAAATAAAATAAATATATAATTAAACATCTTAAAGAAAAACCTCCAGGTCCAAATGCTTCACTGGAGAATACTACCAAGCATTACGGGAATTACACCAATTCTACAAATTATCTTCCAAATAACTGAAAAGAAAAGAATGGTTCCCCATTCATATTGGGAGATGAGCACCACCCTGACACCAGATGAAGACAGTCCAAAAGCAATGAAGAAAACTACAGCTTCCTTATAATTAATGAAATCAGGGAAATTTTCCTCAACAAAACACTAGCAAATGGAATAATGGTAGACAAAATCACATGCCATGACCAACTGGGGATTATTCCATGGATGCAAGTCTGGCTAAATATTCAAATCTCAAATTAATATGACATATCATATCAACAGAATATAGAAGCAACATATAATGATCATATCAAATGATTGAGAAAAAACATTTGACGAATTTGAACAATCAGTAATAAAAAAAATCTCAGCAAATTCAGAATAGAAAAAAAATTTCTATTTTTGGCTAAAATAAATCTTATGTTCAACATCATTATTTATGAGAAACTGAACATTTCTTCCCTACTAGTATGGATGAGTTCTCACTAATCATATTCAACATCATACTGAAAATCCTAGCTAGTGCAATAAAATAAGGGAAATAAAAGATATGCAAGGTGGGAAAGAAAAGATTCTATTTACAGAGGACATTTCTTTGTTTAAAATCCAAAGGATTCTCTAGCAAAACATATATAAAAAATGCTAGATATACTTCAGCAAAGTTGAAGGATAGTAAGACAATATCCAAAAACTAATTACATTTCTGCATACTGCCAAACATCATGTGGAAATTGAAAGTTTAAATATTAATTTTATAACTGCTAAAAAAAGGTATAAATCTCATTAAAAATATACAAGAGCTATATAATATAAATTATAAAACAGTAAAGGAATAAGTCAAGGAATACTTAAATAAACAAAATGATATACCATGTTCATAAAACCACATTCATAAAGGGATGACTCACCACAATAGAAAGATACAATTCTCAAAAACCTGATCTAGATTTAACTCAACATCTATCAAATATCTGGTATTTCATTACGATATCAGAAAAACAAATCCTAAAGTGGAAAGTAAAAAAAAAGTACTAAATCAACTTGAAATAAAAGAAAGAAAAGGAATCATTTTACCCAATTTTAAGACTTACTGCATAGCTTCAAGTAAACGAAAAAGAGGGGATCAAGAAAAATTCTGAGTGGTGTTTGAAACCATATTAAAGAGAGTTTGCCAGTCTTAAGTGGTGCCATAAGCAAGTGTCCATTCATTTGTATACCCTGGGGCTGGATGTAGCTCAGTGGTATATTGCATGCTTAATATGCTTGCGGCCCTGGGTTCAATTCCTAGCACTACACACACAAACATAAAAACATGTTTCCTTATTCCCTTAAATATAAAAGTATTCCCACATTCACTGCACTCACACCTTCATATTCTTCTTAAAAACGTATGCTCCACAAGAACAGAGACAATGTTGTACAATAAGGAGGACATTTAGTAAGTTTCTAGACTTGCCCTCAACTTCCTACCTCTCAACACTGGACAGCACTGAATGCATATACAAGACAGTCAAGGTTCTTTGTCTCCTAAACCAGAACCCTCTCCACCCAAATAAACAAAGAAATCCATGAACAAGTCCCATAGACTGAGTGGAACAGTGTGAAAGAAGCAGTGCCTATGTTTCACTCTATATCACTTCCTTTTTATAAACATTCCTGAGATAACATTGCACTGTAAATGAGAAGAAAGATGCATCTGAAAGTAGTCCTAAGTGCAAATAACCTCTGTCTCTCTCTCCTGAGATGAATTCTCAGATGGAGAACAGTGTTGTAAGCTAAGTCAATTTCTAATGAGTCTTCAGATAACAAATAATAAGGTTTTCTTATAATGAAGACATTTGTGGGTTTTCTCTTTGGTATGAATGATCAGATGCCATGCAGGATGTTTCCTCTTTCAAACGCTTTTCCTCATCAGTTACATTCACAAAGTCATCCCCTAATAGAAGTTCCTGAATGTTGACAGAGGCATGAGCACTTGGGAAAGGTGACCCCTCCTCTGCAACGCTGACAGGGTTTCTGCCACTGTGCATCCTTTGATGGTGAGTGAGGGATGAGCTGCGGCTGAAGGCCTTTCCACACTCACTGCACTCATAGGGCTTCTCTCCAGTGTGGATAATAGAGTGTCGAATGAGGTTTGTGCTCCAGCAAAAGGTTTTCCCACACTCGATGCATTCATAGGGCTTCTCCCCACTATGAATACGCTGGTGCCTCGTGAGGCCTGACCTGCGGTTGAAGGCCTTCCCACACTCCATGCACTCGTAGGGCTTCTCCCCAGTGTGGATGCTGAAGTGGCGAATGAGGTCTGCCCTATTGCTAAAGGCTTTCCCACATTCTTTGCACTCAAAGGGTTTTTCTCCAGTGTGGGCCCTTTTATGCAAGATATAAGTAGAGCAGTGGGTGAAGGCCTTCCCACACTCACTGCACACATAAGGCTTCTCTCCAGTATGAATGCGCTGGTGCCTCTTGAGGTAGGACCTGTGGTTGAAGGCCTTCCCACACTCGAGGCACTCGAAGGGCTTCTCCCCGGTGTGGATGACATAGTGGTGGATCAGGGCCGCGCTCTCACAGAAGGCCTTCCCACACTCGCTGCACTCGTAGGGCTTCTCCCCAGTGTGAGTCTGCTGGTGCCACATAAGATATGATCTGTGCTTGAAGACCTTGCCACACTCAAAACACTCATAGGGATTCTCCCCACTGTGGATGATGTAGTGTCGAATGAAGCCCGGCCTATCACGAAAGGCTTTGCCACATTCTTTGCACACAAAAGGTTTCTCTCCAGTGTGGCTCCTGTTATGCAAGACAAAAGTGGAGCGGTGGGTGAAGGCCTTTCCACACTCGCTGCACTTGTAGGGCTTCTCCCCACTGTGGATCCGCTGATGCTGAGTAAGGTGTGATTTGCGGTTGAAGGCCTTTCCACACTCCATACATTTATAGGGCTTCTCCCCTGTGTGGACCATGTGGTGTTGAAGGAGGTATGTGCTTTTGCTGAAGGTCTTCCCACACTCCGTGCACTCGTAGGGCTTCACTCCAGAGTGAATCCTCTCATGTCGGGCAAGAAGGCGTTTCTTGTTAAACACTTTCCCACATTCACTGCATTTGAAGATGTTTTCATTCTCCTGACTCATGGGATCCATAGCAGTGATCAGTGGGTCACAGTCATGAAGAGCATCTCCTAGACAGACAGGGTCCTGTACAATCCTTGAACAAATGTCCTCAGATGCCCCTGAACCACCAGGTTTAGGGATACTTTTCCCAGGAAGCCTCTCCTGCAGCTCTACACCTGGTCTCAAGAGTCCTTCCTGCACTGCTGATGGCCCATCCTGACCTCTGGCTGCCACCACCTGGGAGCACCCTGAGGCCCCTTGTGTTAACAGTCCCTGGAGTGAGGCACCCTCAGACAAGGCTGGCTCACAAGTAGTAGGTTCGGTGGCCTGAGGTTTTCCACTGTCACCTGAAAGAAAATTCAACACACAACAGGGCCTGTTAATAACAACACAGAAGGACAAGATCCTCACTTCAGTGAAAACATGGAACTCAAAACACAGCCTCTCTGTCCACTCTGTTACCTCTGAACCTTAGGTTTGAACATCTTTCTTCCTGGCCCTTGGACCCCAAACACCTTGAAAGGGAGACCTGGGGAGAGGTCAGTCAGCACACAGAGGGTCTGCAGTGGCGTAAGCTCCACAACTGCAGCCTGCACGTGGCTGGACAGAGCCACGCCGAAACCATGTGGAGGAAGCTTCCTCTACAGGACGCCATCGCATGCTGTTACAGGGACACCAGGAAAGCACAACGAGGGTGGCCCACATGGAAGACAGGAAGCGTATGATGAGAAATCTCAGCAAAAGTCACATTCGGTGTTTGATCAATGGGAAACCTCAAACACTAGATTTCTGGAATTTCTGCTTCATACCAGGTAGGCTCCTCGTACCACTTTGGACCCCTATCAGTTATCCCGAAGACTCAGGGAAGATCTCCCACACCAGAGAGACGAAACAGTGATCAGAGACAGAGCGACAACATCTAACCTGCTGGGCCTTTTGGAAAGGTTCACATCTGTTAAACCCCAGTTTTGTGATTAATTTCTTTCCTTCTCTGTATCAGTTGTAGAATTTATATATCTATCTTTTTGACGGCATTGGGGATTAAACCCAGGGATCCTCTACCACTGAGCTACATCTCCAGTCCTTTTTATTTTTCATTTTGAGATAGGGTCGGGTTAAATTGCTAAGACTAGCACTGAACTTGAGATCCTCCTGAATCACCATTCTGAGCTGCTGGGATATAGGGTATCCACCACATTCAGACACTTCTTAATTCTTGACACCTTGAAAGCCAGACCAAATGAAGAGGCTGGGTGAAGGGACAGAAAGTCTTTAGGGGAGAAATTATCTCAATTCCATATTGACACTTTACAAAAAGTTATCTCATTGTGAGCCCATAAATAATGTATTCTAAAGAAATGAATCAGGCTAAGGTCTGGCAAAACCAGAAAAACTAGTAAGACGACCATGAGAGCATTAAGCCACAGTGTAGCAACCAAAGCCTGGTGCAGTGGTGTACACCTATAATCCCAGCAGCCAGGGAGGCCAAGGCAGGAGGATTGCAAGTTGGAGGACAGCCTCAGCAATTTAGTGAGGCCCAAAGCAACTCAGCAAGACTCTGTCTCAAAATAAAAAGTAAAAAGGTCTGGAGATGTTGCTCAGAGGTAAAGCACCCCTAGTTTCAACCCCTAGTACCTTAAGAAAAAAAAAAAAAAGTACCAATTATGGCTCTTAAAAGGGGACATTGCTAGAGACAGTTTTACATAATCAATTACTTAATCAGCTGTGTGTGTATGTGTGTGTGTATATATATATAATGAAACCCAACAGAATGTCCATCAATACTGCAGTGACCATCCCAAGTCAGCAACATACCACCTATATATCGTCACAGGGAGAAACCAGATGGTTAACAAATCCCTGAGGACACAGAAGCTTCCTGCTTGGACACCCTTCTGTCCCACAATTCACACTTCTTCTAATATGTACACTTAATCTGAAATAAGCACAGCTACTTGAGAGGAGAGAATTGAGATATTCAACACACTGTCTGTTTTCTTGGACATATATCCCACAGTTTGTACACAAGTGTGGGTAATATCTAGTTCCTCAGGTAGAATGTGAGGGGACTGGTGTCCCTGGAAGGGGGAATAGTGGAAAAACCTTAAGACAACAGGCTGATGAGAGAAAGAACCTGTAGAGCCCCATGCCCCACGCAGACCTGGGGACAGTGAGGATCACAGCTACACATGCTGAGCCGCTGAGCCTTGTGCCAACCAATCACCCTCATGTACAAACCACGAGAGTCTTTGACCTTGCCAGGTAGGGCCTCAGAGCTGATGACAGCCAAGACAGGTTTCATGACCACACAGTTGGAGCCCTGGCCAGGTGTTAGCTCACCAACCTCACTCTTTCCCAGGACCTGGAACAAGCTGATGGGTTTGGCTGACCAGAGTACAGGTCAAAGGGCAACATGGCTACAAAATCCAAAGGCCACGGTACGATGCTTCCCAAGAGATACCGAGGCCAGTGTCTTCCCTGACTCAAGCCTGTGGGGCCTCCACTAGCCAAGGTCATGGCTCCTACCTGGACAGGTGCTCTGAAAAAGGTCTATCATCACTGTCCACAACTGCTGCCCGTGCTCCAGCTGGAAGATCAGCTCAGGTTTGGGAACAGGATACCCTATTCAGGGACAAAAGAAAAAAAAAAAAAAAAGGGAGAAACATGGATTTTGTGAAAAGCAGTAAACACCCTCCATCTCCTTCAGGCCTCAAGCCCAGCAGCTGGTCCTTAGGATGAAGCCTCTCCCACCGGAACAAACAGAAAACTGACATGTGACCTGGAACAAGGCTGGCCATCCACACTGGATGACCACTGTGCCCCAGTATGCACTCAGAAGCTGGCACATATCGGGGCTAACCACGTCCACAGGACTAGGCAAGCAGGTTGAATGTTGAATGCACTGGGTCAGCTCAAACCTGAACAATATTTAAGCAGTAATTTAGGGGAAAACAGACATGTAAAATCTCTCTCCACTCAAAGCAAAGGTATGTGTATTAGTCAGTTTTCCTTTCCTCATCTAATGCCTAACTCTTGGCAATGAAAACAACAGAGGTCTACTTAGCACACGGTTTTGGAGATTTCACATCCAACTCAGGCAAATTAACGCAGATCAATCTTTTCCAAGGGCAGTGCCGACAACGACCCTATGACCTTCCACCTGAGTCCCACCTCTGTACTTTCCCGCTCTGGTGAAAGGGGATCAGCAAGTGTCAGGGAAAGGGGCTGGGCTAGATTCAGCTCTAAACCCAGACTTTTCATTCAACAAATCTCAGTGGCAGGAAAAAGGTGCTCAAGGGACTGCTTGTCCAGGGCATGTCTCCAGACCAGATTAGTCCTCAAGAATGGCTTCTCCAGGGGTCTCCTGATGGCAGGTGAGGGGGTGTCTGTGCTTCCTCTCATACAGGTCCAACCTCCGCCAACTGATTTTTGGGTCCCGTGTGCAGTGGTGATCTGTCCTGTGCATTACAAGGACGCTCAGCAGCACCCAGGTCTCCACCCACTAAATGCCAGTAATACCCCCAACCCAACGTAAAAACCAAGAACATCTTCCCACGTCACCCCATGTGTGCGGAAGGGCTCCCCACTTGAGAGCCTCTGGCTTAGGAGGAGAGAAATAAATACAGGGAGATGGGAGAAGCAGCATGTGATGGGGGCGGGGCCTCCTGGAGACTGTTCAGGAAGGCTCTGGTGAGCAGATGCTGAGAAAGGGCAGCAGAGTGGAACGCTGCCTCACCCTGAGCACACCACAGCACAAGGAGAAAACTGCAGTGCTGTCCTGCGGCAGGCAGGAGGGCAGGGGAGGAAGGGCAGGAAGTTGCAAAGACTGGAGTGTGGGGAGTCTGGGCCGGAGCACCAAAGGTGAGCGAAGGTCGGCTGGGTTAGAGAGGACTCCTTATTGTTAAGAATTTACGTATCTAATTCTACCAAACCCCTTCCCAGCAAAGATCGCATCCCACACCACCCTGCACACTGGGCTACTGGGGACACCTGATCCAACCCTGCTCCTAAGTCAGACTCCCCACTGAAAGATGGCATAAAAAAGAACCACAGACTGGGGCCAATCTACGCTGGGCACCGAGTGAGAGGCTGAGGGAAGGATGGCTCATGGCTGCCATTTGCTGCCTCAAGGGTGGCCCACAAAAGCCAGCAGCAAATAAGGAAAAATACAAACATGCAGACAATAGGACCAGGAATCTGGTGGTCACACACAGCAAGGACCAGAAGGCCACTCATGCTGCAAACTGGCTCAGGAAGAAAAGGCCCTTGTTTGGATATGGTGGCAGGAGCCAGGAGAAATTGTGGTGGTCTTCAGGTTCTCCCTCGAAACCTCACCTTGGGTCCTGAAAGCCTCCCCATTCCTTCCACTGTCGCCTTCTCCACAGCACCCTGGGAGCCCAAGGGCCCTACTTCCACTGCCCAGAGAGACTCGGGACACCAGACAGGAAGAGGTGAGTCTAGTAAATGACTGAAGCCCTGGGAAGAAGCTGGATCCAGAGGCTTCTGAAGCCACAGGGTGGAGTGAAGGAGGCAGCAGGTCCGCTGCATGCTGGAGGTGGAAGGCCTTACCCAGTGAGACCAGGAGCCCACAGTTCTCCAGCATCACCTCCTGGTACAAGGTCCTCTGAGCTGGGTCCAGTTGTCCCCACTCCTCCTGGGTGAAAGTCACAGCTACATCCTCGAAGGTCACAGACCCCTGGAAAGTCAAACAGAGGGAACACTGTTGGTCGTGGGGCTATTCCAAGAGACAGGAGAGTCTGTTTCACTGAAAAACATGCAAAGAGATCAAGGCCTAAATCACATGGTGTTTCCCAAGGGCCATGCTCCATGCTGGGCCGGAGAAGGAAGGAGGAGCTGCTTCAACATAATACCATGTAAGGGAGAGATGCCGCTTATGCAGAACAGTCAATGGGATCAACCTCTGCACTGTGAGATGTAGAGAGAAGGGCTCTAGGACATCAGAGGAGCGAGGAAGCGATGATAATGACCCCACCAGTGCAATCTGCATCTTCCTGGTGCAGGCAGGTGCTGCCCCAGGCTGAGAACATTCTGTGTTCAAATGACTGCCAGTCCCCAGCTCAAAGTCAGACTGATAGAATCCAAACTCCTGAAATTGGCACTTGCCATCTATGGAACCTTAGGGAGCTTTCATTATCTGAGCCTTCATTTCCATAGCGATACAGGAACGCTTTATCAATGAAAGTCATAAAGCTGAAAAAGAAAATATTCTATGCATGGCCTTTAGGATTTCTATTAATCCTTCCATAGCTTCTGGGGTAAACACCAGCATCATTCACCTCTACATGGCAGTCAGTGACCTGAGCCTGAAGGACCCTACCAATTCACCCAGTTTCATGTTTGAGCAGTTATGGCATTTGAGCCCCGGTTTGAGGATTGTAATGTCAATTACTCCACCACCAATGTAAGTCTATAGTAACAAGGTGGTTAAGTTTTCCCACTAAATTTTACTGTTCAATTTTTTTCAGTAGCTCCTCAAAATACTTACAATATGGGTAAATCCATCACCACCAAGTGCATGGAAAATACCCACAGGGTGCTAAACCCTTTGATAACCCTAAGGCCAAAGTACTTTTAGACAGGAAATCCAAACAACTAAGGATAATGTAGGTGGTGATCCGGAAAACATGGGCTTGTGACTGGTCAAAATGCTGTACAGTCAAGGTGGCATGCACATGGAACAAACCATCACAGGATCTCACCATTCTGAAACATGTTTCAGCAGGTGGGGAAAAGGGACAGAATCATGGCAACCTCTCAGGCCCTCTTAGATCTCCTTAAACAACCTTGCCTTTGTCTAAAGGATTCTCTCTGCTTAGATGTCTGGCCCTCCACTTTAATGCCCAAAGCAACTTCCTAGAGGAGCATTGCTCAACCTGCATAGTTCTCCTTAGCTGTCACCTCCAGGGCTTTCCAGCCTTCTAAGTATAAAAAACAAAGGCTCTGATGGTCTGTATGCTAAATGTCAGTTTCTGCTACCTCAATGCTGTGTGACATTGGGTAGTTTAATAAAGGTGTCAAAGTCCTGAACTATTCTGATGTTAAACAGTGGTAGTAACTGAACCTGAAATCAGATTAAGTAAGGTGGTAAATGATGTCTCCCCTCAGCTTACATCAGAGACAATGAAGGACTGCTGTTAGGGGCCTCATGCTATTACCTACTTCATTTGGCCTCCCAACATCATGGAAAACCTCAATTTAGCAACATTTAAAACTCTGCCAGATTGTCTGCACACACACACACACACACACACAAAGGCAGGCCAAGGACAAGCAGAGAAGGACCTACTTCAGCCTGCACTGCCAGTAAAGACCTCTCCAAAGAAGTAAAATTTGAGCAGAGCCAAAAAGATGCAAAGAATGGCCTTACAGAGATCCGAGAACAGCGTCTGAGGCCCAGTGAACTGAAAGAGCAATGGCTGGGAGACGAAAGAGAACTTTCTATGGTCAGGTTGGTGTATCTGAAGAGCAGTGAGCAAGGACGATAGGAAGGAGGCAAGATCAGAAGTAGTCAAGCAGGGCGGATGAGGTAGCGACCTGCAGACCGTAGCTGAGAGGTTGTATTATGCTGTGATAGGAGCCCATGGTGTAGAACCTCAACCAATTATTGAGCAACTGTCAGAGATGTGATACGAGTGTAAGAGGAAAGTGTAGAAGAGCTAACTCGCAGAGTATATCCTACCGTATTGGTGAAGAGTGCATATATGGCTTTCCCTGGTAGGTCCTATTATTACCCGGAACAAAACTGGGAAAGAGTTACTAGTCAAGTCCTTCATGTAGTGGACCAGATGACAGAGAAGTTACCTTTCACCTTCCTCGACTATCACTAGAGATGGCATCCTGGCTTCACGCAAGCATGACAGCGCAGGCTGACTGCAGCTGCGGCTGAAGCGGGCCTTGCTTCCCGGCCGGCTGCTGCAGACTGCACAGAGTGCCGTTTTTAAGTATGAGCTGGCTTTTCGTAAACACAAGTGCAAAGGGAAACCCGGGGCCGTTTCGGCTGCCAGCCTCTCCCCACCAGCACAGAAGTCGCAAAGCCGAAACCCCAGCCACTCACCTGCGCCAGGTCCACCAGCGCCGCGGCCATCCTGGGCCGGGATGCCTCAGGGGTGACCCTGGGCGCCGGCCGCGCTCCACTAGCCCCGGAGGCTCACGGCGGGGTCCCAGGCACCGAGGCCAGTCTCCACTGCCCTCCCGCTTCTTTCCGAGCAGCCACGGGAAGGTGGCAGCCGAACACGGCTGGGCTACCCACAGCCGGCGTGGACGGCACCGTCGCGTCCAGTGACGTCATCGCCGATGGTCGGGCAGTTCCGCCCGGGTAACGAGGCCCACCGGAAGTGCCTCCGTCCTGGGCCGCCATTGGCCAACGCCGCCGAGGACGAGCGCGGTGCCTTCTGGGTGACGGTGAAGCGCGCAGGCGCGGAGAGAACGGGGTCCGGGGCCGGCCCCAGCTCTGCCGGACCGCGCGGCAGGCGGGCCTCTCCTTTCTTCTCCGGGGAGGGGAGGCTCTGACAGCTGCACTGTTTGCTCAGGGCCAGCGCGCAGACGCGGAGTCGGCCCGCAGGTGGCCGAAGCCCTGGCCGCCCTCCAAGGCCTGCTCTCCCCACCTGCACGGGCTGTGGGAACGGATGCCAACGTACAGTGGTCTGGAGGCGGGGTGGGGGGCGGGGGCCAGAGATAATCCGGGTAGATAACTAGGTTCGATCTGGAAGATGAAGGAGGCTGGGAAGCAAAGAAAATAGAACGATTCCCCCCTCCGCCAACTTGTTGCTAAGGTAACTGCCCCGGGCATTCTTCCTCCCTGCGGGGAGCTGTTAATTAACACCTCCAGGCCTGGTCCTTTCCACCCGCCATCTTCACGTTTTGGCCCACCCTTTTGGTCACATAAATAGAATGTTTAAATAAAGTAGCTGCCTTGGTTGTCAGACTGGTTTCCAGTTTCCAGATATCATAGCTTTTTCTGACCAAGTAGCAATTATTTTACTTAATAGCCAAAAAGTGCAGCAATGGTCATGCTGGCCATCCAGAGACAGAAGCCATGAAGTGCCTCCTTGAAGTGTCAAGGTGTCATTTACCTTATAGATGCGTATATCTATAAGGCTCAGTACAAGCCTGGTTTCAGTCAACCATAAGGGTTTTGGAATGTGTCCCCCTCAAATGAGGCCTAGTGTGTGGGCCCAGAGCACCATAGAGGGTTTTGCCATGGGGGGGGGGGGGACTCGAAAAGCTCAGGACTCCAACTGTTGTCTGTTTGAAATGTCTCCAGGACCACAAAGTGTCTGGGTCACAGACAATTCAACCCTGGTTTATTGGGAGAGGGATCCTGCTGGGACATGTGAAGCTGCTATTTCAAATCATGATCCCAGGTAAGACCACGAGGAAATAAAATGAGCAGGGCTGGTGATGTAGTTCAGGTGTAGGGCACTTGTATACGCAAGGCCGTGGGCTGAATCCCCAGCACCACCATAAAAATATAGACAAAGAAAAAACAATGGGAAGAGTGAGCCCTGAACCACCACACATCAAATGGTTGCAGACAGTAAACCAACAACATTGTGTTGGAAACTGTGACGCTCCATTCAGAAATACATCATGCAAAATCAGAGTTACAGAGCTGGGCCTTCCAGGAAACTGGGCAGCATGAAGACCTGCTCTGTCAAACCTCAGTCCTTGTAAGTAAATCAGGAAGATTTCAGGCATGTTGCTCAGAGTAACAGGTGAAGGATGTGGAAAATATTAACCCCCGAGGAGAAAGGGAGCGTGGTGGGCTCTGAACCTGTGGCAGTACTTATCATCACCTGTGATGGGGTTGGATGATAGAGTGGGCCCCAGTTCCATCTGACTTGGGAAGATGGAGAAGTCTAGCCTGCACACGCTAAAGGACCCTAGCACATGAACGCAGAGGAAAGAGCACATAAGGACACAAGGAGACTGTCCCCTTGGACTTCCAACTTCCAGAACCCTGTGGAAACATAGGTTGCTCAAGCCACCCGGTCTGTGGCAACCTAACAGGCCACCAAGTGCAGGTGTTTACTCCAGGGCTGACAAACACGCTGCACGTGGTCTTCGGCATGCAGAGAGAAGCACTTGGCTGCTGTGTATCCACCATCAGCCAAAATAATGCCCCCTGCACTGGAAAACACCCCAGAGTTCTGGGGGACGTTTGTGGGATGAAATGGATGAAGCAATGCCCAAGGAACCAGTCATCAGGGGTGTCGCTGCCATTCACAGAACTGGCACCTGCCAGAGCAGCAGCCTGCACCACCTGAGTGGCCGGGCATCCTTGTCTAACCACACCCCACTGACAGGCACCCCCAAGCCCAGGTTAACACCACCCGAGCACAACCACAGTGACCGCACCTCCATGGAGCACTGAAGACAACCTTCCTCGCTCAGGGCCCACCAGGGACTGTGATGCTAGGAGTGAAGGAAATGGGCTCCCTCCTGCTCTGAGGGCTGACTCATTCTACCTCCATATTTGAGACATGAAAAGAATTGCCATTTAGTCTTTCCACCCAATCAGTGGCCAGAGGCCCCTACCTCTGAGAGGGACTTTGGAAACCCCAGGGTGTGGTGGAGATGATCAGTCCTGTGACCTGCACTTTACATTTGGTGGAAGGTAGTGGGGAAATGGACAGACGGTCCGGTCAGGCCTGGGAATTACTGCTTGAACAGGGACTTGGACTCTTAATTCTGAAGTAGACTGATGTGTTTTCTATGAATTACCAGAAATAGTCACACTAGTACAGGACGGGCCATTCTCCCTTCAAATTGCTGAGGGGTGGAGAGAACAGACAAGGAGGTTTCCAGTGAGACATGATGTGGCCGGAGTTGTGCTTCCCAAGTAACAGGATGCCAAGAGCAGCTTCGGAGAGCCGTGGCTCTAGGCCAAACTGGCCTGCACTGGCTTTGTAAATAAAGTTCCATTAGCACAGAGTCCCACCCATCTGTTGACCCAGGGTGACCACTTCCCTGCTCTGAGCGCAGGGCTAAGCAGCGTGGCGGGGCCCACATGGCCTTCAGTGCCTAAAAGTGACTATCTGGCCCTTTGGGGAAAAAAATCTGCCAAATCCCAACTTAGGATATAAAAACAAGCTCAGTGGTGGAGCGCTTGCCTGGCACACGTGGGGCACTGGGTTCAATCCTCAGCACCACACAAAAATAAAGATTGTGCCCATCTACAACCAAAACAATATTTAAAATACATACATACACCAATCCTGTAGTCACCAGGGAGCGACTGAATCAGGCCAAGGACAGAGGAATGGACTGTCCTGAGCACACTCCCAGGCCTCCCTTTTCCCAGCTGATACACCAGCCATGTCCCTGTGACCCCACCCCCAGCACATGGACAAAGGCAGCTCCAAGCTCAGGACCTTCCCTTTATTACCCCCCCCCCCCGAGGTGCCCGTGATCAGAACTCACTGTGAAGAAAGAAATCGATGCTCAAGCCTACGTTTGACCCCCCAGCCCAGGGACCACCACCACCTGGCCCCTTGACCTCCACCATGAGAGCGAGACCAGATCCCCCTGGGACACGCAGCCAGGAGGGAGAGAGACTCAGGGTGTCGAGAAAAAGAACTGGCAGCAGGAGGGAGCCTTCGTCCCCACGGTACTGTCCAGGGTCAGGCCAGGGTTGCTCTCCTTCACCTCCCTCAGCACCTCCTGGACCTTCGCGTTCCACTTGTCCATCTTCAACCTGGGGGACCAGAGGACATCGGCATTAACAGAAAAGCTAGTTCTGTTGTCCCCAAATTCACCACAAACGGCCCAAGTGCCCAGGAAGGTTTCAGGATACTTGCGGCGGGAGACATTTTTGGATCCACAAAAATAGGAATCCTGAGAAATGTCCAAGTGCAGACACACGTCCTGCAAAGACCTCAAGAACCCAGCCACGGGCTCCCCCAGCCACAGTCGTTTCTGTAATCACCACACAGAGCCTCGCTCCCGTCCCCTCTGCTGGCACACCTGTCCTCAGGCAGCCCCTCCCACTGACCGTCCTGTCCATCCAGGTGGGAGCAGCCCAGGTGCTGGCCGCTGGAGAGACAGGCGCTCACCCCAGCCAGATGACCTCCCAAGAAGGATGGCTAAGACAGTCTCCCCAGCGCAGAAGCTGGAAGTCCATCTGGATGCAGAGTAGAGATTCCCAGAGGGCGGGAAGGTGCAGGAGGACAGAGGAGACTGAACAGCACCAAACAGAAGGCACAGCCCTGGCGTTCCACGGCACAGGGAGGGCACCGTGGTTCACAGTGGTTAGTGTACATCTTGAGTCACTAGAAGAGGAGCCCAAAGGCTCCACAAGGTGATAAGGACATGGAAACGTGAACCGTGCCCACTGGGTCAGCACTCACTGTATACGCGTAGTGCAGCGTCATGCCAGCCAGGGCGGGTGCACCCGCGATCCCAGCTACTCACACAGCCAACCGGGGAAACTTGGGAAGACCCCCGCTTCAAAATAAAAGACAAAGGGCTGGGGTGCAGCTCAGTGGTAGAGCACCTGTAGGTTCAATGCCTAGTACCTCAAAATATATCACTGTACCCCCAAAATATGTAGCATTATTATATGTCAATTAAAAATTTTTAAACGTTCAGAGAAAATGGAATTGTTAAAGAACCTGATTTGATCAATACACACTACATACGTCCAATTACACTGTACCTCATATATATGTATTAAAATATTCAATATTTGAGTGAATGAATAAATTATTTTCTAAAGCAAAGAAGATATTGGTTAGTCAAATATTTGGTAGAGCTGGGCACACTCACCATCCCAGCAGCTGAGGCTGAAGCACGTTCAAACACGTTCAAACCAAGTCTCAGCAACTTAGCAAGGCCCTGACAACTTAGGTGCCAAATAAAAAGGGCTAGGGATGTGGCTCAGGGGATAAGTTCCCCAACCCTGCACCATTCAGTGCTTGCCTGGCACACATGGGGCACTGGGTTGGACCCTTCTAGTGTAAAAAAGCACCATTCAGTAGAACAATCCCAAAGCGAACCCCAGGGTGAAACATCAACTTGGATCCACGTGGCCGCCATGTCCAGCCCCGCTCATGTGCGATGGGATGGCGGAGGGTGTCGCTGAGGGATAACAGGGGACAGAAATGGATCCAGACCACAACATGAGGCGGGAGGCCACAGGACTCGAGGTCCCACCATATTTCTTGGTGGCATTATGGCTTGCTCCAGCCCTGGACACACCCCTGCACTGCAAACCAGGTTGAGTGGTCGCCATGTCTACAACTCACAGCCCCTGAATGAGGCCAGCTTGGACATTCCTG